CGCTTTCTTCGCCACCGTTGTACTCCTCTACCTCAACACTTCCACTTTTCCACCTAAAAAGTGTACCTTAAAATTATCGTGAACTGTGCCTTTAAGCTCGTTTTTTTTTTTTGCATTCATGTTCTTCAATGGCACTTTGCTTGGGAGTCTGATAGACTTTCCAATTTTAGATTATTCTCACTTTGACGGAGACGTGTAATTTTTCCACTATGATTATTAGCATTTATTATTACTGCTCGAATAAGTAATATAGTAAAAACACGATGCCCTTATGAGCTCATAACTTTTTGAGTCGTCTTTATCTGTTTTTCGATTACCGTAGTACACAAATGAACATGAAAACCGAGTATTCAAAGCAATAGGACGATTTTCAAAGGACATTTTAAAAAATGAAGGGAAAGTTGTGTAATTCCAAAAGTTTCGCTTCAGTAGAGGGTCTACCGAGCGAGCCATGCATCCGTAAGAATTTTCCATATGTGACGACTAAGGCTAATGCAAGTTCAGTTATTTCTCGAGGCTCTGAGATGGGCTCTCAGCTGATTGTGAGTTATGACAACTATTGGAGGAGAATAGCGCTTCTCAAACAAGTTAACCGAGTACTGCTGAAAAATCACAAAAAAAATATCCAAGAGGATCAAGATTCATGACAGCCTGACACAGTACTCATTGGTTGGGCGAGGGGCCCATAAGGGATAGACCTTGCAAGTCGGGAGATCCCATCCCGAACCTCCTCATACTTGCGTGTTGCGCAATGTTTTGTGTCGAACATCGTAATACGATTTTCGAGTATCGTAGAGAAAAACTGGCTGACTCGGAGATTGCGTCGATCTGATCGTTGTGTCCACCTATGAGTGACCTCGTGCCCAAGTGGATATAGCAAGTTATTCGAGCCTCTGACGGCAGCCTATATAAGAGGAAAGCCCTGACGATGCCAACCACTTCCACTCAACTCCAGTCAACCCAACCATGGCGCGTCTCCTCGTTGGTATCATCTCAGCCGCTAGCGGTGTCACTATTCTTGCCGCTATCATGACCGCTGCCTACATTTACGTTGATATTAACAACTTCTTTGACGACACTATGAAGGATATGGAGGAATTTAAGGTGAGCTCACAGAACGCACAGTTTTCGCCGAATTTATCCTTCATTCCAGATCATCGCTAATGATGCTTGGTCCAAAATGATCATCACGAACTATGCTAGTCATAGATCCCCTCGAGAGGCTTACGGCAAGAAGAGCGCTAATGTAACCAAGGGGAGTGTAACCGTGTCCAAAAGCTCAGGTGGAACTTGTAAAAGCTGTGGAGCACAACCCAATAACTGTCCACCTGGACCTCCAGGGCCGCCAGGAATTCCAGGAGAACCTGGAGTTGATGGCGAGGATGGACAACCTGGAACAACGCCCACTTCCGATTACACCACTCCCGGACAAGATGATGGCTCATGCATAATGTGTCCTGAAGGAGAGCCAGGCCCAGCTGGTCCAGACGGTCCCGAAGGGCCAGCTGGCCCTGATGGTCAGGATGGCGCTCCTGGGGAAGCAGGTGGAGATGGAGCACCAGGTGAAGAAGGACCAGCCGGTGTTCCTGGAAACGATGGTGAAATGGGAGCTGTTGGAGAGCCAGGACCGCCAGGTAAGAATGGAAAGCGTGGACAAGGTAAGTCCGGCCCGGCTGGAGAGCCAGGTNGGTCCCGAAGGGCCAGCTGGCCCTGATGGTCAGGATGGCGCTCCTGGGGAAGCAGGTGGAGATGGAGCACCAGGTGAAGAAGGACCAGCCGGTGATCCTGGAAACGATGGTGAAATGGGAGCTGTTGGAGAGCCAGGGCCGCCAGGGAAGAATGGGAAGCGTGGACAAGGTAAGCCCGGCCCGGCTGGAGAGCCAGGTCCAGAAGGTCCTGCAGGTAAGCCAGGTCCTGACGGAGAGGCAGGCAGTCCTGGGATGGATGGGGAAGCCGGAGTCGAAGGACCTGCAGGAAATCCTGGTGAAGATGGTGAAGATGGAGAGGCCGGATCACCTGGAGAGTCCGGAACGCCAGGTGAAGATGCTCAGTATTGTCCTTGTCCAGATCGTACTCTTCCGTATCCGACTGATGAAGACAGTGCAGTGAAACATGAACAGAAGAGCGGTTACTCTAAATAATTTATTTGCCAGTTGTTATGTATAGTTTTATGTTATTCTATCTTATGTTGCGAAAAATAAAGATATTAGTACTCTCTCGTTTGAAAACCTGACGGGGATTACCAATCAGACGAAATCAAAAAAGGGTTGGCACTATGACTATTCTTCATTGCATCCTAATTTCCTAACTTATTTTGTAGCAGGTGACTTCAATTGGCGAAATCAGGTTTTATTGAGATCTTGGAGCAGCCATAGATAGGGAATGCCATCAATCGGTGTTTACAAATACTAAAATAAAAGTATTGATACTATGATCTGGTTTGATACAGCCTATCCAGAAAAGGATTAACAACTAGTACAATGCGATAGACAATCTGTCAAATGTCTTTGGTGCTCTTTGTCAAAATGTATGCCGAATGACGGAACGCTCCGCTCCACAACAATTGATTTGGAAAGAGATCTGGAAGGAAATTAAAATAGTTTAATTTTTACGAAACTCTTTCCTCAGGTGCTTTTGGCTCAGCAGTTCTGTACCGGCGGAAGGAGGACGCATCACTGGTCATCATCAAGGAGATCAATATGTACGATCTCGACAGCTCGCAACGGCAGCTGGCTTTGAATGAGGTCACTTCACGAAGTTCATTTATAACAAATTTATACAAAAATTTCTTTTTCTTTCTTTTTTATCTGGTAATTCTTGTCTGAGATACAGTTTTTGGATTATTCACTGGGTCTTCGGCTTGGCAACGATAGCATCGAGCTCTGAAAATGGCTGAATTGAGGGAGAGTCACACAGGGCTTATTTGAGGGAAATGTCGTCATTTGTTTTCAGCGAGCGCCAACACTAATGACGCACCGTATAGTTGGAATTGACCAAGGATTCTTTGGGTAAATAAGAGGATCAAAAACAGGAGCGGATAACCATTAGGTTCTTCATAACACGAACAAATTACACCCTTCGATGTCTAACTGTAGAATTCTGTTCAGCCAAACTACACGGAGCTGTTGCTCACCCCTGGAAATTTGAATTTAGCGTTCATATTATCTAAATCGTTTGGAAGACGTACTTTCCCGGATTCTCACTATTTTAAACGACTATATCTGAAACTAGGGCGTCTCAAGTTGCAAGTAGCGCACGGGTCGTGGGATCGAATCCCGGATCGACCCTCTCCAATACAAACACTGACTTGGAATTGGATGGTAACGACACGCACGCATGCATAACGCTACTATGATTATGAGTGGAAGCCGGAAACCGAGGCGCACCTCTCAAAAACGAAAGACTCCAAGAGTTTAGACAATTTGGATTACGTTTAGACTCACCGGTGCTTCATTTTTCGTCGCAGTTGGAATAATTTGACAATTCTTCCTTCACTGAGGGAGGGACAGCAACTCCTAAAGTTGTCGACTGCAGTGGGATTGCAATTTCGTTTCTGAACTGCCATCAGTCGGTTAAATTGCCGCTTTTACAACGCAAAA